CGCTACGAAACGTAAGGTCGGGGGATCCGATTGCGATCATCTACATCCCCAGTGCAACCCTCGCGCGGTATGGAGCTGGAGTCGCGGCAAATGGGACATTCATGGTCTTTGACGTGATCCCGTTCTATGAGGTCAAGTCCATTTGGATTGGCAAAAGCAACGGAGGGAAACGCCTGGAGTACGAGGACGTCAAGCGAGCGTACTCAAAATGTGTGGAAAACGAGATCTGTCCGGGTTTCGTCGATTCCTCCCAGGAGTCGGCTGCGATGTTCCTACAGAACGTCGCGAAGATCAACGAGAGGATGCCTGAGACCGAGGCAGGTGCCGACAATCTGCACTACATCAAAGACATGGTTGATCGTGCATGCAAACTGTTTCGGGAAAACAAGCTGGAGGAGTTTGATGCGCAGACCAACGAGATCAGGGACGAGATCAGCAAAGTCGTCATCCTGAATGACGAGACATGGGAAGGACTAAGATGCCGGATATGTCCGTCATGTGCGACCGCGATTCCCACATGCTTCTGTGTGTGCCTGGAGTGTGGGGCGCAATTGATCTCTACCGGGAGATTTTGCATCCACATCAGTTCCGACGACGATGGGGACAACCAAAGGCCCAATGTTTCGGGTGATGCCAGGCGCGCACAAGACAAAGCCAACCATGGTGCGGCAGCACAGGAAGAGGATGATGAGGCGGAGAACGTTCCTGAAGACGACGACATGGACACGCAAGGATACACGTCCGGCTACATGTCTGAGGAAGAAGATGGCGGTTGGCAATACCGCGACAATGACTTGGCATCGCGGGATATCATTAATTCCCAGCGGATGGCGATTTGCCTTGATACATGGCGGGATTCATCGCGCTGCAGATGTCAAAGATGTGGGGGATGTTCGAAGGTGGTGAAAAGAGAACGATCGATGCCGCGCTCGAAGGGAAGCTAGGCTGCCCATACCACAACGACTTCGAGAAGTACCCCAACATGACTGAGCACGATCAGGAAGGGATCCTGTTGCCGTCAACAATAGTGAAGATTAGCCAATCTCAGAATGTTCGGACAAGGACCTTCCGGTCGGCTGAGGAGCGTAATGAATACATTCGTCTGATGGTATGCAAGTGCGAGGGGCTATACATATTTTACAAGCTGTGGATTGCAGCGAGAATCCTCGACATCACCAAAGACGAAATGAAGCTCCTGGTCAAGGATCGCGTGCGCCCGGTGGGTGATATCATTTACAGATGCTTCTCCCTGGCTTTCAACTGTAAATATATATCGTTCGTAAGGGAAGGCTTGAACCTTGGCAGACATGGTTATTCGGTCAATGTGAGCGCCATTATTGCAGCCACTGACCCGAACAAATGCGACACACCTCTGCTGGATTGGTGCCTACGAATGGGGCATTGGATACCAGAAGATCATCATAAGAAGTGTGTCCGGGCGCGAGAAGCCCAAAAGAATTTGGACGAAGAGTTCCGTCGACGTACCCACAGACTGTCCATTGGAGACAGGTATGCGTAATGCAGATGTGGATTATTATTGCTTATGTGGTGTGGTGCGCCCACCAACAGCAATACATATATTCACTCCGATGTTGATTGCGGCACGATGTGGGCTAGTCCCCATCTATTGCTTGCGTCTCATCAATGTCATTGCGATGGAACGACTCTACATCATGATATGATTTCATGCGTCCAAGATGAATGGATGTGTGTACATTTACATATTCCGACGACTATGACATTCCGGATATCATGGATGGAACTATTACCTCATGGATGCTTTCTTTTTCATTAAATATATATATTATTCATGGTACCTGGAATGGTTATGTTTTGCATTGATTGCTCACCGATATTTCTTTGCCGGTGATATGCAGATTACTTACGATCATGCGCTGCTGTGAACTTCTATGGCCAACCCATTTCTGTGGATGACGGCTGCGCGATGCGCAAATGCGGCAGCTGGGATGTTCAATGGTTGCGTGATGACGGGAGGTAGTGCATACCTTGCATCTGCATATGGGAATGTGCTACGATTTGCGGATGCACGTTCCAGTTTCAATCGAACCCGGCAGGTTTCACAATGAATGAACGGTGTAGCGATAACGAGTGAAAGAGTGCTCGACACAATTTCGTAGCTGAAGCCGTGGCCAATGGAACGTTTTGTGGTGTTTGGACCGCATGATGAACAATGCGACCCAAATGGGGGATGTTAAAACCCTCCTGGCCCCGTGCCTAAATTGGGAAGCAGTTCTGAGGTCCCTGTTTGTGTTGCTTACAAGGTTCCATTGATTGCCATTTGGCTCAAGTCACAAGTGAGGTTCAAGATCTTATGTGAAGCTGCGTTCATACGTGATCGGCAATTGAGAGCGGAGAACACTTCGCTTGCGCTGCATTTGTCAGGACCACTGTTGTAACTATTATTCCTTCTCCCTTACAACAGTTACACGGGTTCGGCTATAACGGTTTGACCGTATACACCTTTCTACGTGGTTGGTATTTACAGCTGGAGGGTTCGGTGGACAGCGTCCCACGGGACGTCGCCTTGCCGTCTCTTGACAACTTCCTTCCTTCCTTCCTTCCCTCCTTCCTTCTCTCTTTCTTGCTTTCTTTCTCTCCTTCTTTTTTTATATTTCTTTCTTTCTTTATCTTCCCTTTTTCTTTGATCTTTCTTTCTTGCTTTCTTTCTCTCCTTAGTTTTTGTTTCTTCGGTTATTTGGTTATTTGGTTCTTTCTTTCTTTCTTTCTTTCTTTCTTTCTTTCTTTCCTTCCTTCCTTCTGTCTGTCTGTCTTTCCTTCCTTCCTTCCTTCCTTCCTTCCTTCCTTCCTTCCTTCCTTCCTTCCTTCCTTCCTGCCTTCCTTCCTTCCTTCCTTCCTTCCTTCCTTCTTTTTTCTTGTTTTTTTTGCTTTTCTTTGTTTCCGTTTGTATTTCTTTCTGTTTGTTTTCCTTGTTTTCTTTCTTTCTCTCTTTCTTTTTTTCTACCCTTTTTCTTTCTTATTTCTTTCTTGCTTTCCTTCTCTCCTTCTTAGTTTTTCTTCTTTGTTTGTTTCTTTCTTTCTTTCTTTCTTTCTTTCTTTCTGTCTTTCTGTCTTTCTGTCTTTCTGTCTTTCTGTTTTTCTGTCTTTCTGTCTTTCTGTCTTTCTGTCTTTCTGTCTTTTTGTCTTTCTTTCCTTCCTTCCTTCCTTCCTGCCTTCCTTCCTTCCTTCCTGCCTTCCTTCCTTCCTTCCTTCCTTCCTTCCTTCCTTCCTTCCTTTTTTTCTTTTTTTCTTTTCTCCTTCTGGCGTTCTTTCTTTCTTGTTTTCTTCTTTCTGTTTTTCTTTCATTGTTTCTTTCTTTCTTGCTTCTCTCCTTCTTTTTTCCTTTTTTCTTTCTTTCTTTCTTTCTTTATTTTTCTTTCTTTCTGTGTTTCTGTCATTCTGTCTTTCTGTCTTTATGTCCTTCCTTCCTTCCTTCCTTCCTTCCTTCCTTCCTTCCTTCCTTCCTTCCTTCCTTCCTTCCTTCCTTCCTTCCTTCCTTCCTTCCTTCCTTCCTTCCTTCCTTCCTTCCTTCCTTCCTTCCTTCCTTCCTTCCTTCCTTCCTTCCTTCCTTCCTTCCTTCCTTCCTTCCTTCCTTCCTTCCTTCCTTCCTTCCTTCCTTCCTTCCTTCCTTCCTTCCTTCCTTCCTTCCTTGCCGCTGCTCAAGGAAACAATAGGACCACTGCCTCAACGAAACTACAACTACAAGCGGGATCAATCACAACGTATGCGGGAACTGAGAAAGAGAAAGAGAAAGAGAAAGGAAAAAGAAGATAAAAGGAAAGAGAACGAGACCAAGAAAAAAAACGAAAAAAGGAAGGAAAACTAGAAAAACTTGAAAAAGAAAGGAAAAGAAAAAGATAGAAAGGGAAAGAAAGATAGAGAAGGAAAGCCAGACAGACAGACGGTCGGTCGGACGGTCAGACAGACAGACAGACAGAGAGACAGTGTTGCGTGGTTGTTCCTGCCGTAGCGTGTGGTGCGTCTGTCTTCAAACTCCTGTTCGTCGAATTGTGGCCTGAGAAGCTTTGTAAGGTCCTGACGCCTGGTGTACCCATTAACCACACTCGGAAGCGCCAACGGGGATGTAGTCGAGATCGCTCTTCTGTGGCTGTGTCTGGTTCTGCTGTTTCAAGGTCATCGTAGTCCGGCGCGTGTGTTGCTGTCTCAGCATTCTGGACTTCCAGTTCTCGAAGGCCTCAAATGCAATTTAACCGTGGCGGTGGTACCTTGTATCTGTGTGCCTGATTAATTACTTGCGCTGCGTGCTCGGGGCATAGCCTGTTGATCACTGCTGTAAACCTTTCCTGTGTGTGTGTGCTGGAGGTCAGCTTGGGTAATGGCGCATGTGTTGCTTCTATTTGTGCGCGTCGCAAATGTCTGAAGGCTCAAGGCCTTGCTGCGCCATGTCTCTTTTTCTCTTGCTCTCTTTGCCTTTTTCTTCTCTGCTGTTTCTCTTTCTCTCTTTCTGTTTTTTCTTTCCTTCTCGCGTTCTCTTTGTCTTCGCTTCGTTCCTCATCTTACTTCCTGTTTAATATGGATGAGGAGGAAGAGGCGAGAGAATGGAAAGGAAGCCACTGTCTCGCCATATCTTCCTTGTATCCTCACCATCTCTTTTCCTATCCTTTACCTCGAGGGAAGGGAAGGGCTTGAGCGCGAGATAACTTGTATGTATTCATATCTCTCTGTTTCTCTGTCTCTCTGTCTCTCTGTCTCTCTGTCTCTCTGTCTCTCGACCAGACAGGCGTTGGTTGGCGTCGCAGACTTTACTAATACACAAGTCCATGCATGCTTTCTCATCTTCAGAAGTTTCTTTTAAGCTTTCTTTGCCAAGAAGGTTTTCCAATTAAGCCCCATATCCAAGCCGGGCCGTTGTCTAAGCCCCTTCCATCCTCTTCTAACCTGACTCCTTAGTAGCAAGGAATTTTGAGGGAAGAGGGAAAATAAAGCAATCTGGCATCGCAAAGCCCTGCGACGCCTTGCAGGGCGCGCCGGTCTTCGTGCCGGGCCGACGTCTGGTCCTAAAGTGAATGGGCGCTGCGCGTGGCCTTTTGCCACTACCCGCCCGCCGTTCGCAGTTGAGATTGAAGAAGCGCAGGATTAGGGGCTTAAGGTTTGGGGATGAAACTCCCAAGGATAGGAGCCAACAAGTCAACCTTACGTGTCGTCTCAAAATAGGTCATTTCAACAAGCGGGAGGGCGGGGTTAATCAAGGTGTGTTCGAGCGAAGCAGTTTGCTTATAGGTGCTTCGTGAAATTGAGAGGAGCAACTTGGGCCAGCGACTTGCGCGCCGCAACTTGCGCAAGGCAGCTTGCGCAGAGCAGCTTGCGCAGCGCGGCGCAGGGCAACCTACGCAGAGCAACTTTAGAGCCTCCGGCTCAGTCCGCCGACATTGTCCTCTTCCTTTTCTCCTCATTCCTCTCTCCCTTGTCTCCCTTGTGTGTTCTGTCGTCCTCTCTCCTCCCTCTGCTCCCCATCCTCCCCATCCCCCCAAGCCTCTCTCTCCCCAATCTCCCCTCTCTCGTGCATGCATGCATGCATGTATGCATGTATGCATGTATGTATGTATGTATGCAGGCATGTAATGTATGTATGTATGCATGCATGCATGCATGTATGTATGTATGTATGTATGTATGTAATACATGCATGTATGTAATGCGTGCATGCATGCATGTATGTATGTGTGTATGTATGTATGTACGTATGTATGTATGTAGTGTATGTATGTGCGTATGTAATGTAATGAAAGTAATGTATGTAATGTAATGTAATGTAACGTAACGTAATGTAATGTAATGTATGTATGTATGTATGTAATGTATGTATGTAACGTACGTATGTATGCATGCATGCATGCATGTATGTATGTATGTATGTATGTATGTATGTATGTAAGTATGTATGCATCATGTATGTAATGTATGCATGCGCATGTATGTATGTATGTATGTTTGTATGTATGTATGTATATGTATGTATGTATGTATGTATGTATGTAATGTAATGAAATAATGTATGTGATGTAATGTAATGTAATGTAATGTAATGTAATGTAATGTAATGTAATGTAATGTAATGTAATGTAATGTAATGTATGTGTGTATGTATGTATGTATGTATGTATGTATGTATGTATGTATGTATGTATGTATGTATGTATGTAACGTACGTATGTATGTATGTATGTAGTGTATGTATGTAATGTATGTATGTATGTATGTAATGTAATGTATGTATGTATGTATGTATGTAATGTAATGTAATGTGATGTAATGTAATGTAATGTAATGTAATGTAATGTAATGTATGTATGTTATGTTATGTTATTTTATGTCATGTTATGTTATGTCATGTTATGTTATGTTATGTATGTATGTAATGTATGTATGTAATGTAATGTAATGTAAGGTAATGTAATGTATGTAATGTACTGTAATGCAATATAATGTAATGTAACGTAGTGTAATGTAATGTAATGTAATGTAATGTAATGTATGTATGTATGTATCCTTGCACTTCCCCTTTGCTCCCCAGTATTTCCCGCAAAAAACACGGTTTTTCCAGCGTTTTCTCAAAGAGGACGTCCAAAAACACACAGTTTTTGCAGATTTTCGGCAAAAGGATGCAGGAAGCCCAAGGCAGCAAAAAGCCGGCAGGGGGAATCGAGCCTGGGGCCCCTGTTTTGCGACAGCACGGTTAGTGGAACGTCATCAAATTGCCGCGCGGTACGTGGGGGACCCGCCTTGGACGCTTGGCGTCCATGTGGCGAATGACGTGTTTTGCTTAGTGGTACGTCGCGTGTCCGGCCCAATCAGACTTCTCGGACGGATCGGACGACCCGGACGCAGTGAACGGACGAGCGCGGACTGATAGGCCGGACGGCTTGGACGGCTCGCCGAGGGTTGGGGCAGCTCAAAAGCTCGGACCGCTGTACGGCTTGGACTGCTCGGACGGGTCGGGCAGATCGGACGGTGCGGGCGGCTCGGACGGTCAGATGGATCGGACGGATCGGGCGGATCGCACGGAGCGGACGGCTCGGACGCATCGAACCGATCGGACAGCTTGGAAAAGGCCGTCCGATCCAGCCCGATCAGCGGGGCCTTTTTACCCTGCCACGGGCAATTTCTTCACCCCGAAGAGGCTTGCTCATTTGCCTTCACCGGTGAGGGCAAATGAGCGGGGTCTGTTTGTTCCTTAAAAAAAAAAACGTGCCACGGGCAGAAATCAGCACTTCGCTCATTTGCTCTGACCAGTGAGGGCAACCCTTTTTTTTCATCGTGCACGGCACCATCCTCGGGCAGAAATCAGCACGCCGGAGGCCCGCTCATTTGCCCTCAATGGTGAGGGCAAATGGGTCCGTTTTACCGTGCCTTGGGCAGGAATCAGCACGCCGGAGAGGCCCTCACCAGTGAGGGCAAATGAGCGGGGCTCGTTTGTTCCCTTTTTACTCATTTGCCCTCGCCAGTGAGGGGCGGCAGAAATCAGCTTTCCGGAGAGGCTGGCTCATTTGCTCTCGCCAGTGAGGGCAAATGAGCGGGGTCCGTTTGTTCCGTTTTGTACCGAGCCACGGGCAGAAGGGGACCGCTCATTTGTCCGTTTGTTCCTTTTTAATCAGCAAATGAGCGGGTCCGTCTGTTCAGTTTTCACCGTGCCTTGGGCAGAAAGCTCATTTGGTCCGTTTGTTCAGTTCAGCACACCGGAGAGGCCTTCAATGGTGAGGGCAAATCAGCAGGGTCCGTTTTCGTTGGACAGAAATCAGCACGCCGGAGAGGCCCGCGCATGTGCCCTCACCAGTGAGGGCAAATGAGCGGGGGTCCCGTTTGTTCCTCTTTTTTTTGATTGTGGCGGGGTCCGTTTGCTCCGCGGAGAGGCCCGCGCAACCGCCCTCATCATGCAGTTTCTTTTTTACAGCGCCCTGGGCAGAAATCCGCGCCCCGGAGAGGCCTGCTCATTTGCCCTCGCCAGTGAGGGCAAATGAGTGGGGGTCCCTTTGTTCGCTTTGTACCATGCTTCGGGCAGAAGTCAGCACCCCGGAGAGGCCCGCTCATTTGCCCTCAATGGTGAGAGCAACTGAGCGGGGTCCGTTTGTTCACTTTTTTACCGTGCCTTCACCGGCGAGGGCAAATGAGCGGGGTCCGTTTGTTCTTTTTTTGCCGTGCCTCGGGCAGAAAGCACTCAGAAATCAGCACCCCGGAGAGGCCCGCTCATTTGCCCTCAAATGGTGAGGGCAAATGAGCGGGCCGCGTTTGTTGAGTTTTTTCCGCGCCTCGGGCAGAAATCAGCACGAATCAGCAGGGTCCGTTTTCGTTGGACAGAAATCAGCACGCCGGAGAGGCCCGCGCATGTGCCCTCACCAGCGAGGGCAAATGAGCGGGGGTCCCGTTTGTTCCTCTTTTTTTTGATTGTGCCACGGGCTTGCTCATTTGCCCTCACCAGTGAGGGCAAATGGCGGGGTCCGTTTGCTCCGCGGAGAGGCCCGCGCAACCGCCCTCATCATGTAGTTTCTTTTTTACCGCGCCCTGGGCAGAAATCCGCGCCCCGGAGAGGCCTGCTCATTTGCCCTCGCCAGTGAGGGCAAATGAGTGGGGGTCCCTTTGTTCGCTTTGTACTGTGCTTCGGGCAGAAGTCAGCGCCCCGGAGAGGCCCGCTCATTTGCCTCAATGGTGAGGGCAACTGAGCGGTCCGTTTGTTTGGACGTCGGACAGATCGGACTGGTCGGACAGCTCGGACTCGGGCTCGGGCGCCTCGGACGGACGGCTTGGACACGGACACCTCGGGTTGGACAGCTTGGATCGGACTGCTCGGACTTGGACGACTCGGATCAGACAGGTCGGACGGATCGGGCTGGTCAGACAGCTCGGATTTGGATGGTTTGGACGGACGGCTCGGACTGATCGGACAGGCCGAACAGCTCAAAGTGGGACGCCGCACACGGACGGCTTGGACACGGACGCCTTGGAACGGATCGGGGCGGACTGTTCGGACAGCTCGACAGATTGAACTGAACGGCCTGGTCGAATGTTTGGGCCCGCGAAGCACGGACTGGTTGGACTGGTCGGGCAGCTCGGACTGGACGGACTGGTCGAAAGCTTGGGCACGGTCGGGCAGCTCGGACTAGTCGGACGGTGTGGGACGGACTGGTGCGACAGTGAACGGCTGGGCTCCCGTATAGGACGTACTGGTCAACACCTCGGACTCAGACGCCTCGGACTTTGTTTGAGCATTCAGTTGGAGAGCCCAGCTTTGCCTTGGAAAACTTTGAGAGTCTATTTGGCGAGCTCGGCTTTGCCTTGGAAAACCTTGAGCGTCTATTTGGCGAGCTTCCTTTTCTAAGGATTGACTTTTGAAAGGAGCCTCCTTTTGCAAATAGACCTCAAGTGTCTATCTTACCCCCCCCCCCCCAAAACCTACGTATTTGACGTCGGGCGGGGGGGTTATCCTCTATCCTCTAGTAAGTATCCGACACGCCGAACAATGTCGGCGGACTCGCAAAAAAACAACATCCCGGCAAGAGACCCCAAATAGTAGCGCGACGCAAGAAACGCGCATGAAACAAAACATCTTGGGAAGGCGCTAGCCGAGGGAGAGCATACTCTTGCAACTGTTCTTTTATTGAGCTATATACATTTCTCGAACTCTCTTGTTCATTGTGCTTGGAGACTACTCGTGGCGCAAGGCCTGGTGATATCATTAGGATCTCGCATCCTTGCTGCGTTGTGGTACTTGCACGCGTTTGTGTTTCGAACCGTGCCCGCACCCCCCACTTCTACTTCTAATTGGCAGTTTTTCCGAACGCAGGGGTGTCAAGTGAAGAGGATTCCCATGGAACAGATTCCGCCACGGCCTTTCTTGGACGCCGTCGTAACGGCGGAACAGCTTCACATGAGAAGACCGCCAACTGATCGACAAACGCTAAACTGCCTCCATCGTACGACGGCCGTGCCAGTAGGGACTGGGTTCTTTCCCAGTCATTGAGCCGCGACAAGGACCCCTCTTAGCCTCTCCTAGCCGCTTACGCATGACGCTCTCATTTTCCGCAACTCGCAACCCAGAGAATGGAATGTAGAATTTTGTCAAGACTCTCTGTGGGGTTCCTCGAGATATGATAACAAGTCCTGAATATATTCAGGCCATCCATGACGCCAATCAGACACGGGGTGAAGAAAGGGTGCCAACCTACAGGTTCACCCTCATCACCCTCATAGTATCCTTGTTCTTTCCGCCGCAGGGGCTTTACTGCCTCATGTGTGCGCAGAAGGAGACTTTGCGTTCAGACAACCCTCTCCGAATGAGTCCGAATGAGGGAGGCGCAAGGCGTGTCGGACACGTGTAGGTTGCGTTCTTTTTGCTGTGACAAATTGGTTGAAGTTCGCTTGAACGGCTGCGTCCAAGAAGACTGGACTGGATCGGGCCTAAGAACTGCGGCTCCTTGCAGCTGAGGGATTCTTGACGAGTGCGGAAAAAGAGTTTCCAGCGGACCCTTCCGGCAAGGGGCGAAAAGGAAGACAGGGTACGGGCGCGTGCCGAAGAGGCCGCTTTCAACCTTCAGCAGGCCACATTCAGGCAGCAAGGCCAACATGGCCGATGGTTCCCACCGGGCATTTCTTTTTGGAGAAGAAAGGCGAATTAAACCATGGAGCCACACAGGAACAAGGAACACAAATTCTCCGGCAAACCACTCGCAGCGCAACAACTGCGTACCAACAAGGCAGCAGACAGGATCATTCCAAAGCCACGTCGGCGCGCTGCTGAGCCAAGAGATCCTGCTGCGCCAGAAGAAGGTCAGCCGATGCTCCACAACCGTCGCGCACCACTTGCGTTGAAACGCACCCACACAGTTCTGAACACCAGTAGAGCTAGGCTTGCAACACCGCTGCATGTCAGCAGAACAATCGAGCGTTGCACCTGCCTAAGGAGATTTATGACCTCTACAAGAAGATTCGAGGCGGCAATTGCTCCGTCACGCATCAAGAAGCATGGGCCTCTCAGGAACAGGGTGAGTGTACATGTTCTCAGACAGAGCTACAACACTTCTCTCTGCATAGAGACCATCAGGAACTTTTTTTTTTTTCACTACCACCTGCAGCTGCAGTGTGTCGTTGGAGTCTCCCTAACTCCCATGACACCGTGCCCAAATCGCGCAGAGACAGCAGCGTCTCATCAAGGGACAAATCTCACTCATACTCAACTCAACCAAGTCGGGAAAAGCGCCAGCGTCCCTTTACAGCCATTGCCTAGAAGCAACTTGTAAAGGGAGCAGCGACTGTCAGCGACGCACGGCGGTGTGCTACAGAGCTTGTCCAACAGCGCCGCAGCTGACGATTCCTAAAACGGAAGATGGGCTGACTGATGGGCAGATGCGACAACTCGCGCAGCGCATGACCAAGAGGCTCGACAAACCGAGAATGTCAGACGAGACCTCGCGCAACACGTGCGTCTCAGCGCCAAGCCAAGCGAAATTGGCGATAGGGTGTTTTAAAGTGGCTTACTGGAACGAGGACACGTCGACGATCAAACCTGACGGGCCCAAAGGAGGGCCTGTAGTATCTACGAATGGCGCAACGGTAGGAGGAATTGACCTGGCGCACGCTTACTTAAGGTCAACATGGCAAAACTCACAAAGGGCGAAACATTGCCACGATCCAGGCCTGGACTTGGCCCGCCTTTTTTAGGAGACGATCTCTACGGAAATGAAGTAGAGCAAGACAAGGCAGCAGCGAAACACCAACTTCGAGTTAACGTCATCACGGATTTGACGAGCTCATTTGCCTTCGCAAAGCTCTTCGCCAACAAATCTAGACAGTACTCTGAGCGTACATGCGCGACGCCGTGCATCACTCTTGCTTTCCGCATTGCGCGAAGCACCCGAATCACTATTGCATCGAGGTTCAAGCTGACGAATCACTTCATGGCATCGAGTTCTTCAAGATTTGGCGGAGACAGAACCGAACCACTCAAGGACTTCGAGACCCACAAGAAGACACTCCGTGACAATCTTCCACAATCGCATATGTATCATAGTGCGAGGGCATCCGCGCAACTGATCCTATTCTTTCAGAGGCAGATTTCCTTGCGACACGATCTGGGGCAGAACTCTGACCATTAACCCGTCAGTTCAGTAAGCCTTGGCGCCCGAGGACTTGTGCGCATGGCCGCCCTGTTTGATACAAGCCAGCCAAGATCTGTTGGTGAGCGTCGAGCCCACGTCCGAGAACCCAAACATGTCCAAAGAACAGACCCAGCGCAAACATCGAACTGGCGTAGAATGTCATTTTTTGATGCTTGTCTCTTTCCATCCGATAGTCAACTAATGTCTTTCAAATTTGGCCACCGCTGCACATGAGGCGAGTGATAAAATCGCCCCAATGGCACGATTCCTTATAGAAACCTGCAGCGCCAGAGTGTAAACATTGTGTCTGTTTTGTTCTCGCTTTGTGTGTTGACTCCACAGATCCACTCATGTGCAATTGTCCATTGCCATTTGGCCCAAGGCCTCATCATAAACTATATAGAGGAAAGCGTCTCTCCTCCTTGCTGAATTGTGGTACTTGCGCTCATGTGTTTCCACGAGGTAAACCAAACACTGCTGACACACATGTTTGGTCTTCTACCTCATCATATATGACTAGGTCCATATTCGGGACCTACGTGTTTGGGGCGCAAATGGAATTTTATTTCCAGCTTCACGAGATAAGGGCAAACCCCACACTGTTCCATTGCTGATCTCTTTCTTTCATTTGCTTCGCCCCCACGCTTGCGGGCCCAGGGGCGCACTGCTCTTTGTCTTTGGAGCGAGCGGGCCCCAGTGCGAGCGCCAAAAATTGAACACTCACTCCGGCTGTCAGGTCCGCGAGAGGAGCCCGCGCCGCGCAGCGTGACCTGCAGCTCGGGCCTTTGTGATCGAGCGCCTCTTAGATTTGTTCACGCTTGTTCGCGCTCCGAGGCCCTGCTGGACAGGCGTCGGCCTGAAAGGCGTTAGCGCGTATGTTTCCGGTCCATTTTTTCCAACTGTGCATTTCTACTTGCTCTGCGCACGCCTCAGCGTACTTCACTGTGCACTCTGCGAATGCCTCTGCGCAGTTCACTGTCTACTCTCCCTCATGCACCTGCGCGCTTCACTCTGTACTTTCCCTATACGCATGCCTCTATGCACTTCACTGTCTACTTTCCCTCTACGCACTTCACTCTGCACTCTGCGCATGCCTCTGTGCAGTTCACTGTCTACTTTCCGTGAGCGCGCATCTATGCACTTGCATCAGCGCTTGCCCTACGCATGCTTCTATGCATTTCACCGTCTACTTTCCCTGCGCATGCCTCTATGCAGTTCACTGTCTACTTTCCCTGCGCGTGCTTTCACTGTGCGCTCTCCCTACGCACGCCTCTATGCATTTCACTCTGTACTTGCCCTACGCGTGCCTCTATGCACTTTACTGCGCAGTTTCTCTACGCATGCCTCTATGCATTTCATTGTCTACTGTCCGACTTTAGCCGGAGCTGCGGGGACGTACTTCGCATACCACTTCTGTACTTGAAAAATAACGACTTCACAGCCGGAGCTGTGGGGACGTGCTTCGCCTACTTTTGTACTCAAAAAATTGCAGCCTGATCCCTGCAGACGGCCGCGCGCAGACCGCGAAGATATGCGAAGATTCAGACGGGACCGCAGTGAGAGCGATTTGACACGTACAATCTCCGCACAGGGTCGCGCGCGAACCGTGAAGATTCGCACGGGACCATAGCGAGAGCGATCCGACACGCACGATCCACCCAGAGGATCGATCGCAAAAAAAATTGAGTAGGGCTGCGTGCGGCCCGCAAGAGTCGCAAGAAAACTCCAGTTAGCACATCAGCCGCGCCAATCCCCGCAGAGGGTTGTGCCACGAGCTGGGATGTTGAAAATCGCAAAAACCGTCAGTTTTTGCACCTCGACCACGCCGATCCCCGCAGAGGGTCGCGCGCGCCCCTCAAGAATCGCAAAAAATCTCCAGTTTTTGCACATCGACCACGCCGATCGCCACAGTGGGTCTCCCGCGCACGGCAAGAATGGCAAAAAAGCAGTTTTTGCACATCGACCACGCCGATCTATGAGAGGGTCGCACCTCTATGCATTACACAGTCTACTTTCCCTGCGCATGCATCTATGCATGACACAGTCTACTTTCCCTGCGCACGCATGCTTTTGCGCGTGTCATGTCTACTTTCCCTGCGACTGTCTACTTCCCCTATGCAGTTTAGCTGCGCAGAACGCAACGACTTTACCGGAAGAACCCTTCGCGTTGCTTTCAGAAACAAGAGGGCAACCTCTTATCCCTTTGCAGGCAAGCAAGCGCCCAAATCACTTCTAATAACAGGTTTGGTGTGGCGGGCCGGCTGCCCAGAACGCAGCTGCCTGAGCCTGGCTGATGGGGACGTTTGTTTTGATTGCACATCTGTCATTTGTCAGTAGACTCATCCTTCCGCAGCTCTTCCAAGGTCAGATGCGTCGGAGCAGGACCGGAGCAATTGGCCAGCCACTACCCAACCACTGTATCCAATTTCAACCCTTGTACTTGTAGAGGCTCTGGTTTACACGCAACTTCATTTGCCAAAGATTATGTTGAGGAGCTGTCAGCAACATCGCTAGCCAAACAGCAGCTGTCACGATTGCCACACTTGTGTGAAACTTGGATGTCATAGGGTGGGTTAAGTACCGTTTGCAGTTGTCTCTCATGCATATTCAGTCGTGCCTTGGTGCCTCGAATTTTCGGGCTTGCTACAATGGGTGGCAAAGGCATTCCGTACCTTGTCAGCACATCTTCAGCCCAACAGAAAGTTTTTTGGAAAGTCCGCTTTAAAACCGGCTCTGGCGATGGTCCCAGGAACCCCAATGCCACCATTCCGACATGGACTGGTGGCTGGATCGAGAAGGATAGCTGCATTGAAACTGTTAAAACCCTCCTGGCCCCGTGCCTAAATTGGGAAGCTGTTCTGAGGTCCGTGTTGGTGTGGGTTACATTGTTCCATTGATTGCCATTTTGGCTCAAGTCGCAAGTAGGGCTCAAGGTCTTGCATGAACTACGTCTGTACGTGATCGACCATAGAGAGTGGAAACTACTTCATTCGTGCTGCAGCTGCCAGGATCACCATCGTGGTTATTGGTTCTTATCCCTTACAACAGTTTACTCGGGTTCGGCTATAACGGTTTGACCGTATACACCTTTCTACGTGGTTGGGTACAAAGCTGGGGGGTTCGGTGGACAGCGTCCCACGACACGTCACCTTGCCGTCTCTTGACAGGTTATCAGCCGTATCGGCAAGCTCTACACTGGATGGAGAGACAGCTGGTTTATTGCGGGTACAGGAACTATAGAGGGACAATCACCTACACGGTACAATGGCATCTTCAGCGAGCCCAAGTACTGCAACTTTTGGGAACGACAGCTCAGAGGGATCAATTGGATTGATGGCTCTTCCTGCGGTGATGGATTTGGTTGCAGATTCACAGGACGAACCTGGGAGCGGAGGATCCGCACTATTCAGCGACATGTCTACACCTACAAGGTCATGGAAACAGATCGCTATTCATCAGGAGTCGAAGCAAAGAGAGTCTCCGCCAAGAAGATCATCATCTTCGCCTGCGACACCGCGGACGTCGCAGAAGGGCGTGAGGTCGACATCGAAAGGGGGGAGATCCAAATCACCCACGAGTGCCGAGTTTCGCGCCGCGATCAAAGAAAAGAATAAGATGGAGATGGAGATCGGGGAGTATCAGAAGACACTTGATGAAATGTCGGCAGCAATGGCGAATCTTCACCAAGAAGACTATGGGAGCACTATCCGGATCCAAGAGCTGGAGAGACGATGCGAGATTGCCAGCAAGCAATCGGGGCATCTTGTAAGTCATCACCAACACCACATGGCGGAGGCCTGGCGCAAGTTTGAGGAGGAAGCCCAACAGATGCGCAAGGTGGAAATAAACGCATATCAATACGGGGAGAAGAAGGACATGGAGTCGAATGTTATGATGCTACAGATGAGACAAGCTGAGGGAACGATAATGGAGCAGAAACGGGAAATTGCAGTGATGAGATCCTATATGGCAAGCGAGAAGTCGGCCGCACAGGAATCAGCAATACATGCAAATCAGATACACCGTGAGGCTTCACAACAGATATCGGTTTATCAGCAACAGATCAGAGGTATTGAGTCATCTACATCTATCGGGAAGTTCAACGAAGAGGAGATGGTTCGAAGTCTGAAATCACAGTTGGAACATGCACTCGTCAAACGCCCCGAGATGTACTCGATGGAGGACTCCAGGAAGCAGCTGATGACGAGACTGAACGACGTTACGACTTTCGTAGAGCAAGAATCGAAAAGAGCAGAATGCTTGCTGCGCGAGAAGGAGGAGATCATCAAACAGTATGAGTCCGACCTGTCGAAGAAGAACCAGATGATTGCTATCGAGGGCGGTCATCGTCAAGATGCAATCTTGGAATTGGCCCAGGTCAGAGAAGCGAAACAAGAAGAACGGTGCACGATGGACGAGAAATCGAAAGAGGCCGAGTACTGGAAAATGACAGCTAAAGGAGTGTATGACGAGTACCTCGAGGAGATGCGCGAACTTCAGGGACAACTGAAGGAGCGGGAGGCAACGCTCAAACAAGAAGAGCTCGTTCGCCAGCTCGATGCTGATAATGAGGAGCTCAGGACTCAGGACACTCAAGAAGCTGGAGATACAGGAAGCCTCGAGCAGTAAAGATGGACATCGTGAACGAGCAGTAGTGAAACGCGCTGAGGGAGGACCCCAAACTAGTTCGGCTAGGGAAGACTTCCGTCTTTCGGTGATCCAATGATCCATGTACACCTATCACAGATGCAAGGGGTTGTTGGGCGTGTCCCACAATCCGCTACTACGACCGGTGGTGGTGGTAATGGAGGTGGAAACGACGGTGCTACACCCCCATTGGAGTACGGTGGATTCTCGCCCAATGGAAATCGACAAGGGCCAGATCGACGTCAATTGAGCCTAACAGCTGGTGGGGGGGGACCTTGAGGTGATCCACCCGACGATGAGGACGAGGATGACGACGACGAAGAGGATGAGGAGGACGAGGAAGAAGAAGAAGATGACAGTCGGACATGGAGGGGGCGCAGAAGATTGAGGGATGACCGCGAGATCAAGAACGAGAGACCGAGGATTTCAAGGAAAGAAGCTGAGAGGGTATCTATTCCGCCTTGGCCAAAGATCCATCAGCTCGATAACTGGAAAATGCAATTGCTGATGAATGTTCTAAGTGCATGCGCAGATCCAGATACCGACACATGGGCGAAATGGTTGGAACAGGCTCTTGGGTTAAACCCAGACCTCAATCTGCTGAGCGACTCCGGCGGCGATAGATTCGTTACAATAGATATCAAAATGGCCATGGGAATGCAGAATATGTTGAGACAAGCACCTGACGAAGCCAAAGACGTGTACCTCGACGCTACGCGACACTTGGAACTACGACATCAACAAGGGGTGATCGTGAAGGGACGAGAGTTGGTGGCATTGGTCATGCAATCATTCAGGACATCTGATCGAACGGACCTTGTCTACCACATCGAATTTGGTTGCATTCAGGAACAAGTGGTATGATTTATTGCTGAAGATGAGGAGCGAGGATAGACCCAGCATGCTGGCTCTCAGAGACATCCTCAAAAGTCGTATGAATTCTTACTGGCATTGATCGACCACCAAATCAAATCGGATCGAGAGGATCTGATGCTCGACATGAAGGAGAAGTCGGTCAAGTCAATGATGAGATCGGGCGGCAAAGATGCAGCTCCGGCTGCTGGCAAGCAGGAGGGCCAGAGTGGCAAGGGCAAGAAGGGGAAATCCAATGGACCTGACGCCGCTCCCGAAGGCCAAAGCAAAGGGTCACGCTGGCAAGAACGGCAAGTCCGACAGTGCCAACGAAAGAGGCAAGAGTCCGAGCGGAAACAAAGAGAACCCATGTTGGTATCACTTCAAAGCGGAGAAGGGATGCGTGAAGGGGAATGAATGCACATTTTCCCACAGCAAGAAGACGGAACACAAGCTGGAGAACATGCCCAAAGGAAAAGGGAAAGGTAAGGCCAAATCCAGATCATCATCACCAAAGAGGGAAGATGGGGCATGCTTTGCGTTCCAGAAGGGAAAGTGTGAGAAAGGGAGTGCTTGCAAATATAAGCACGAGCTCATCAAGAACAATTCATCTCCGGCAACGTCAAGTGACAAGGCACAAGCCAAGTCGAAGGCTGCCGCCAAGAACGCAGCGCAGGCGATTGTGAGAAGGGCCATCGCCACGCCTGCGATATAGTCTTGAAGCAATCGGCACCTGCGGGAAAGGTCAGCTTCAAGAAGGACGTTGATCATGTCGAGCCGGACGAGACCGAGACTGTCTACCACGAGCGTGATGACGATGCAATGAGTGAATCGTCAAGATGGTCTGGCGAGTCCGAGATCCCCGAGAAAATGGTATGGTTCAAAGAAGTACTCGACGTCGACGAGAACGGGGAGATCACCTATCTTGAAGACGAGAGTAGGCAATGGGAACGAAAGGGAGAGTGGCACGGCAATGAGGATGGTCCTTACAAGTACGTGCATGTCGATGAGAAGAAGCTTAAAAGCAGTGATCATCGAGAATTATCAGCCTATCAAGTCCAACGATCATTGATAAGAGCAAAGATACTGGAAGAAGTGGTGGAAGATGTTTACAGAAAACACTACTTTCCGGTAACCAAGGAGAGCACCATCATGTTCGAATATGATCGAAACAAGGACGAGATCAAGGAAGCGGCCATCGACTGGAAGAAACAGCATGGTCTGCCGAAGAATGTGTTCGCAATGTCAACGTGCATCAGCAAACGGGTGAATTGGCTGATGGACACCGGATGCGGTCATGATCTCATCGGACGAGCCAAGGCAAAGAGCCTGGGTGCCGATATTGTGAAAGACGATGATGAGATTGTGTTTCAGACCGCAAATGGTTCCATTTCCACATCTGATGTGGCCAAGATAGTCGTGGACGAGTTGGACGAGACTGTCGAGCCGCATGTGTTGGATGAGACACCCACGGTGTTGTCAATAGGGAGAAGATGCATGAAGATGGGATATGCTTTTCACTGGATGCCTGGTAAACTACCTTTCATGGTTACACCAAAACAGGGATTCGTACACTTACAAGTCAAGGACGACATCCCGTACCTCGTGAGCGATGGTAAGCTTCGGAGTAACAGGCATCGCCCTACAATTGACGACCTCAAGGAGCACTTTTCGGAAGTGTTGGCATTGGTCACGAACGATGAGGCGGATCAAGATGATGGTGATGACAATGATGTCATACCTGCCGCTGTCGGTGAATCCGCAGAGGTTGAGGGCGAACATCATCATGGAGCGTTCGACTTCGGGCCACCCGGGGGAGCCGGTCCGGTGCGCCCGCCTCCTGTAGCTGAGGAAGTGCCAGTAGACGTTGGGCCAGTCCCATG